TTTCTAAATATTTGCTGTCCACAGCTGAATTGCTCTTCCAGGTCTGCTAATGGAACACTCAGAAGTGCATGAGTAATTGTTGAGAGTTGTTAGAGAATATCAGTGGTGCTACATGTGCTGTGTCTGATTCGGTGGGGTGTGTGCAGGCATGTGTGTATATTTTGTGGGGGGCAGTAGTTTCAGAGAGATGGTATCAGGAAGCAAGAAGAAGTCTTTAATTGAGTAATGGTTGCTCTGAATTGCAGCACTAACAAGGCTAATGAAAATCAGTCAATGATTGAAACTTGTAGCAAAGGGACAGGTGCTGTGGTGTTTGCCTTGGATGAGGCAGCGCTTCTGTCAGTGGGCTTGTGGAAGCCAGGTCACAGGCACCTGTGGTGGCTTTTTCAGGGAGCCATGCTACTCTAGGGACCATCCAGAGCAAAACCTACACTCTCTTCCTTGTAGCTTGAATGTCTTCCCTCTGAAGTGATTCTGTGAAGTCTTTGATCTCTAAGCCATTGTTTAAGTGTCAGAAAAGTCAAAATTTGAATATTCATTTTCATTTAGAAATTCTATACTTTAGAAAGCAGGATATTAATTTGCATAATACAAATCCTTGAGTGAATCAGTTTCATTAGAAGCAGCATAGTGTTGAAATGGTTTCTTTGCAGGCTGTTTAAAAAGTTGATTTATTAATTTCATAATATATTTTTAAAATTATTTTTAAGCACTACAGAAGTGTCTTAAGTGTTCTTTTTAGTGTTAGAGAATGGTGAGGCTTGGTTGAATCAATTTTTTAAAAATTTCTGCTCTGAAACTTATAGTCAAAAGCATAATCTCTCAAAAGCTATGATTAACATCTTAATTTGAGGGGTGGGCAAGTTTTGTTTGAAAGAGCATGTCCAAATAATTTGTTGGTCAAGTTTTACCCTTCTTATATTCAAATTCAAATTAGTTTGGATAGTCATTCAAAACTATGTCATTGAACAAATAATGGTAAACAACAAACACCTATCAATAAAGACAGCTTTTCTTCCCATTTATCACCATTAAAACATTTTAAATGTTTTACTTTATAATTTGACTTCATGCTTACAGACTTATAATTTTCATTTGGTGGCATGGACTGTATGGGTTCTATTTTGGGCAACAAAATTGCAGAGTGCTCACAGCATTATTTTTAAGGTTTTACTTTTCCTGTTTTGATTATGGATTTTAGTCTAGTCTCCATAAAATAGTGAAGAAAAATTTCTCTCTTGCAGAGAGCTTTAGATTCTGTTGCTTTGGCTGCCATGGTGGTGGTGGTGGTGGTTAGGGGGGAGATATAGGAACTGTTCTTTAATTTAGAGATTGATGGCATATTGAGGTAGAGTAAGTAGACCAGTGAAAATGGATGCATTTGCAATAAGATCGGTTAAGTCCAAAAGCCAGCCCTAGGTCCATCACTTACTAGTTGTGTATCTGTTCCTCAAGCCTCTGGTTTCCATGAATATTGCTTCCAATTTTGAGGTCTATTTTGCTTCTTTATTTCTGGCCTTTTTGAGTATTTATCTGTTCTATACTTTACTGTATTCTTAAAATGTGAACTTTAATTAAGATTTTCCCAAGGACATTTCATAAATATGCATTTTAATAAGTCTAGCAAATGAAAATTAAAACGTTCTGATGCATGTTGTAGAGTTCTAATATGTACTTATAAGAAATGTTGTTCCTAATAACCAGGAAAATTTGTAGGAGACCATTGCAATGAGAGTGTTTTCAGTTTTGCTTATGGGCATGTAATTAATACATCCAGAAATGTGAATTTGTTTAAAAGGGAAGTTTGAGTTTTTAGATTCTTTTGTTTTAAATGTGATCCCTTGTGTTGATATGTAAATAACACCAGCCCTGTCATCCCAGAGAGCTGCATTTTTATGTTCCTGCATCTTATATTTATATAGCACTGATGCTGTTACAGCCTATTCACAAATCGCTTAATTTATTCCAAATAATAATTTTGTGAAAAAGATAAGAGAGTTCATATTGCCTCTTTTTTTCAAATGAGGAAACTCAGTCTAGGAGTTCACTAATTTGCCTAAGGCCACGTGGCTATTAAGTAGTAGAGCTAGTGCCCAGCTCTTATTCTCACTCTAACATATCTCAGCCCCCCACTTCATGTTTTAAAATTAAAGAAGTCAACCAGAGTGTTATGAGTCACAGAGTGTCATTCAAGAGTGGTGCGCAGGTAGGAAAATAGATTTGTGAAGTGACTCTGTCACAATCTTACTTTTCACATCCGTAGGAGGGATTTGTACTTTGTTACTTTTTTTTTTTTTTTTTTTAAGGAAAATAATGGAAACCGAGGAACTTTTAAAATGGTTTTGCCTCTTCCTTTCACCACACTTGCCCATGGACAGAAGTAGGGGATATACTTAGGCAGGTTATATTTTATTGTTGTGATGTTGCTTTGTTCAGTGGTGGTGTTATGAAACTTAACTTTGCCCAGACAGAATAGGCAGCGTGTAGCTCTTTTCAAGACTGTGTGGTGAGTGGAAGTCCAGTAGAAGGAATCACTTGGGGGTGGGGGTGGGTCTTCTCAGGTCTCAGACAGCCCTGTGCAAGCAGCTGGGGACCTTGTTTTGCTCTGAGTATTTCCTGGATAGATCTGCCAGGTCTTTCCCCAGCAGTGGTATCTCTCTGCCTCACTTTGTATACACACAAGGCCTTTTGCCTCTCTCGTAGGGATGACATAAGGATTAATAGGATGACATCCATAAAGTTTTCAGAGTTCTTTAACAATAGAATCACTCAAACACTTACACTCAATAACAGAGCATGTGAAGTGCAGCTCCTTTGCCCCTCATTGCAAACTTTTCCTGCATTTATTCTCTAGTTTCCTTTAACTTTTGTTGACTGTTACAGATTGATTTGGGGGAGGTGGAGGAGGAAGAAATAAGCAAGGGAGAATGAAGGTGAAGGAAGGTTATTTCCACTCTCCATGCATTTCATCAGGTTGGTAGAGTCCAGAGTGGGGTACTGTGTTGCCCATGCAGGGAGAATGGCAGCTTACCGAGCGGCTGCTGTGTGCTAGGCCCAGGACAGAATCTGGAAGAGAGCCCTAACTAATCCCTGTGACAGGTGGGGCTCTAGAGCTTCAGACTCCAAACAGCCCCTCCTTCTACCTGACCAAGGTATTATCCTTGCTGTCCTTGTAGCTTGGATACAGAAACAGCACCCTAGCAGTAAAGTAAGAAACTGTGATGATGGGGACATGGATTATAGAAAACCTTTATATATTGTTCTTACTCAGAACAAGAGACAGAGTTGACATATATACAACAGATACTGAGAAAGGTACTGGGCTGAAGTTCAGCGTATTCTTTATTTCGTAAAACTGAAAAACAATTAAAAATGTTAGTCATTATTTGAAGAACTTTCCTGTAGTCCTATAAGTACAGGCAGTTGTGATTATATGAAGATAGAAAAATGATTTAAAAAATTGTGATTTTAAGTATAAACACACACATATATACATATACTACATATGCAATGTAGAAAATGGATCTGTATTCCATTTTTGCTCAAATATTTTGTTTTCAAATCCTGAAAGAAACTTAGGCTCTTTTGTTTAGGATCTGGAATGTTAAACAGTTTGGCTTTCATTTTTATCCTTAAAGTGTCTATGGATTGGAGAAGGAAAATAGGGGATTCTTGCAAATTACTTTTTAAAAATGGATCACCTCATTTACAGTAGAAAATTTTAAACCTTTTAACACTTGAACAAGTCAGTGAAGGGACAGGAAGTAGAAGAATTTGTCTTCTTGATACAATACTTAAAGCATTTTATTTTATTATTTTTTATTTTTATTTTTTTTTAGCAAAGCACGATTTATTTAAGTGAGAAACCTGCCACAGCAGCCAGGAGGGGGGCTCAGAGAGGAAGACCGCTACTTAAACATCTTATGCATTTGTAACTTTTTGTTTAGTAACAGAAGATTTAAGGTAGTTCTACTACCAATGAAATGAGATGTACAAGAGGCTCTCTTCTAGATCTAGAGATGTTATGAAATTATGTTCCAATACAAAAAGTACCACTTGTGATTAAGAGATAAAAATCATTACTTTTCTCAGTCACGAACCTCTAATAGGGCTTAAAATATCAGAAAAGGTGTTCTTACTACTCTGGTGTAAATCGAGGGGCAGCTCCAATTCGGTGGACAAGTTAGCCTCCTTGTAGCATTTTGAGGAAGCATGTCTGTGGGGACCCCTCATTCCCTCCTGAGCTCTGGGATCCTACCAGGGCATACTTGGAAAAGTGTGTTTCTTCCTCATTGTACCGATAAAGTCTTGAAATAAAATGTTTGGTGCCTGCTTATTTGAGAGACTCAGATGTAGATGATGAAAGCAGTTACACACTGACAGGCAGTTCAGTGTCTTCAGTTGTTAAGAGAGAGGGGAGGAGGGCAGGGGAGGCAGGGAGGACTAAGGTAGAGAGGGAGTCAGCCTCAGAGCTTAGGTGACTGGGTGACTGGACCGTGCTGTGAGCTGGTGCATTTTCTGTCTCTCATTCCAGAGCCTCTCTGATGGCCTATGGAAGACAGGAAGTGGTTCCAATGGTGACAGCAGGACTGGGAGTCTCCCCTAACTCGTTCTTTTCTTTGACATTTAAAACTCTTTGAGTGTGTGGCTGGCCTGCCCTGCAGAAGGTTTTGCATTTCTGTGAGGCTCTGCACTGGCCACTTCCTTTCTCTCTTTCTCCTCTGCTTCTGCATTTCCGTGGGGATGGCTGGGAAGGGCTGGCAGGGCACTGCCTGGTGTGCAGGCCTGCCTGCAGCCCTGTTGCCCCTCGGTGGGTTGGCCGAGGTTTGGGGAAGCCGGGGAGGCGTGTGTGTGCTTGCTCAATGTGTTGGAATGTATGGGTTCTGTGGCATACGCTTCCTCGGAATGTGCAACACACACGCGCTGCCATGGTGGTGGGGGTCAGACCCTGTAGGCTTTGTCAGTGGTCGACGAAAATTGGGGAAGGAATTTCCCAGTGCTCAGAGTTTAGATTTTATTTCTTTTTCCTCCAGAAGTACAATTGTATTTATTCTTTGTAAAAGAAAAACATCTCTTTTTTTTTTTTAAGCCATTAAAGGATAGAAAAAATTTTGTGGATGCATAAATAATCTGGCCTCTCTCCTGGATCCAGCTGGCCTCTTTTCCCTTTCTCTTCAGACTGATAGTGGTGTCTTCAAATCATGGACACTGAATTTGTAAATCAAGCCTTTTAAAGCCCCCAGAGTTGTGCCACCGCTAAAGATGATGAAATCAAGGTCTTGAGATACCAGATTGTAAGCTCAGATATTTCAAAATGTAGGATTTAGTCTCCTTCCTGCGGAGTAAAGAAGAAAAAAAACTAATTACTTAGCTGCTTATTATTTTAGAAATTTTTACACATTTTATGTTTCCTTCACAAAATATTTGACACAGCAAAGCCACTGGTTGCTCGGTTGTTTTGAAACTGGGGAGACAGCCGTTTAGGTTTGTGAGGTAGGTAAGTTAGAAAGGCATTTTGTTTAAGCATTTTAGAGGAACCAGAACAGGTGACTGGTATTAATATAATTATTTCTACATTGTTAACAGTTTTGGCAGAGAAGAATTAGCTCTTTGGTTCATTGATTTTTGTATTTGTGGTTTGACATGTGTGTCTATTTTGACATGTGTGTCTATTTTAATAATGGTTTCAAAACAATTTAGATATTGAAATTGATTGGTGGATTTTGTTCACATACAACAATTGTGGTCAAGGTGTTAATACTTGCCTTAAAAATTTCCAGGCTGAAGTCAAATCTTTTATTCCTCATAACAGTGTTTTTAATACTACATGGAACTATGGGATTCTCAGAAGATGCTGAATTTGTGGAAGGGAATGGGTGTATGTACGTGGGAGTCCCTGGCTTCTCACGCACTTTCTAATCTGAAGAGAGCTGCACTCATGCTGTTTTACCCAGCTTTAAGTATGGGACTCTGGGTATTGAGTCCAGTTTCGATAGGCCTCCAGCAGATCCAGAAACACTTCCTGGGGAAATTTGAGACACTGCTTTGGTTAGCTCTGGGTCTGCTTCTCCAGCCCTAGCCTCCCGTCTCCTGTCCCTTGCCCTTCAGTCACAAAGGTTTGCTTTGCCAGCTGTAGGCCAGGATAGCGTGTCGATGGGTTTTCCTATAGTCAACAACGCCAGAATGCTTGCCCTTCAGGAGCTTCCCAGGGAGCTCCTTGGCCAGTGATTGTGCGCCATTGGACTCAACTGACTTTCAAGAGTATGAGGAGGGCCGGCGCTCACTAGGCTAATCCTCCGCCTAGCGGCGCCGGCACACCAGGTTCTAGTCCCGGTCAGGGCGCCGGATTCTGTCCCGGTTGCCCCTCTTCCAGGCCAGCTCTCTGCTGTGGCCAGGGAGTGCAGTGGAGGATGGCCCAGGTGCTTGGGCCCTGCACCCCATGGGAGACCAGGAAAAGCACCTGGCTCCTGGCTCCTGCCATCGGATCAGCGCGGTGCGCCGGTTGCAGCGCGCTGGCCGCGGCGGCCATTGGAGGGTGAACCAACGGCAAAGGAAGACCTTTCTCTCTGTCTCTCTCTCTCACTGTCCACTCTGCCTGTCAAAGAAAATAAAAAAATAAAACCAAGTATGAGGAGAATGACGTGAAACCCAGTCATCCATCTGGAGCGAGTGTTTGTGTCAGGAGCTCCAAGCAAGTTGGCCTCCTGCCCCTCTTCAAGCAGAGCAGCCCTCCTTGTCTCTGTTTTTTCCTTTAAGGTTTATTTATTTATTTATTTGAAAGGCAGAGTTAGGAGAGAGCGATCCATCTTCCATCTGCTGGTTCACTCCCCAAGTGGCTGCAACAGCTGGAGCTAGGCCAGTCCAAATCTAGGAGCCAGGAGCTTCTTCTGGATCTCCCACATGGGTGCAGGGGCCCAGGGACTTGGGCCATCTTCTGCTGCCTTCTCAGGCACATTAGCAGAGAGCTGGATCGGAAGTGGAGCAGCCAGGACTCGAACCGGCGCCCGTATGGGATGCAGGCACTGCAGACAGCCGCTTAATCTGCTGTGTCACAGTGCTGGCCCTCTTCCTTTTATCTGTTTGTGTTGGGGTTCCATGAACATGGGGATAATCTTAAACATTTTCAACTGGAATGAATGGAATGTAATAGATGTACAACAAGTCAGATGGGACAAGAGCTATTACAAGATTTACTTTCCTGGTATCCGTCTTAGATGCATGGGTTTTGTTCAAAAAAAAGGATAAAACTTTAAAAAGTTAAAAATACTGCTTTCTCTGATTTCTTACCTTGTGGTCATGGACTCTTGCACAGTCCTTCAAGTCCTTAGAATTTGTCTTCTGTGTTATTAAAGAGTTCCATAGATGATTCTGTTGCTCAGCCAGGGAGAGATCCCACTCTGAGTTCTCCTCCCTGTGCCTGTGCTCATGGACCTGTGCTTCCTGCAGACTGGTCTTCAGAGGTGGATGATTTCATGTCGTGCATCCGACTTCTGTAGTAAGAATGTCCTAAGAGATAGCCATATATTTACAGGTGTCCACACAGAGATGCTGCTAGGACAGGGCCTTGTAGATGACATGAGTAGGTTGTGGCATGCAGGAGGGAGAGCTGTTAGCTCTTGTCAGCGGCTGCCATAGGCCAGTGTTCCCAAATCTAACTTTTCAAGAGAAGCCAGAAGTTGCAATTCTTATGTTAAATCTCCACATTTAAAAATACTGGCAATAATTCAGACATTTTTGTAGAAACTGTGAAGCTCAAAAAAGACTCAGCTATGGGTTGATTCTGGCCCATGGATTGCCAGCACGCAGTCTCTGCCACATGAAAATCTGTATTGGCTAAAAGTATTGTTGAAGATATTGTACATTATATTTAAAATCTTAGGCTTGTCCATGAGCAAGAGGGAAACGTTCTTCTCTTGATAAACTGGATGAACTAGTATGTCTCTTATCTAATGAGAGCTGTTTGGAAGCCTTAAATTGGGTTTCTGTTGTAGTGACTATCCTCCATCTAGTTTTGCTGGAATAATTGTTTTCTCCACTATAAAGTACCCTATATTTTATCTCTGTGTGATGATCTTATTGTGTTTCTGCTATATTGGACCATCTAAAATATTTTTTGTAAATATAGAATGTATATATATTGAATATATGACAGTCTTCTAAGTTTCTGTGGGTAGTATTTCATACTACCTCTTCATGAGAAAAAGTAAGCCTGTATTTCCATATGAGTTGTGTAACATGTTTTCACATCATTCTAAATTACACCATGTAAACATTAAATCAACTAACTATAAATGTTTTAATCCTTTTCCTTAGAAATTTGATTCTTTTATGACTGGCAAACACTTTTTAAAATAAGAACTTGAGTTATTATATTTGTTAAATGTCTGATATAAGGCAAATGGTTTCAAAAGTATAGAGTGTGACAGGAGGAAAATTCAATTCAAACAGTGTTTTGGTTACTATTCTACTGTCTTGTGTTTAAGTTAAGGAAATTGAAGGCCATATGGATTCTGCTTCTGGACGCTGGGTACAGTAAATACTTATTAAGGACGAACTAAAGAAAACTGCCAATTGCCTAAGGCACCTTTTTTAAAAAACAAAACAACAACAAAAAGGCAAAAAATGACTCTGACAGTTATAATTAGCATTTTTTAAATGTATCATTTTGTTCTGTAACTTAGATGCATATGAAATAGCTCATTACTAATCACTTTATAGTGGTGAAGTAAAGCGCATGTCTTGGAGAGCTTGAGTTAGCAAATCGTCTGTGGTACAAGGTAAGGTATGATAGAGCGGCAAGCAGAGCTTCCCCGTTGTGATGGACACGAATGGTTCCACAGCCAGGGCCTGCTCCATTTTGGTCTTCAAATGCTATTAGGTCTCTGAGAGCTGATTCTTGTCTTTGTTATTTATTTCCACAGCTCCATCTTGAGTGCCTTGAAATAGCTGCTCATTAAATATTTTTTAATGAATTAATTTAAATTGAAGCCACATGGTGTCATTAGTAATAATTTGCTTTTGTTTCTTCCCCTTTTTTTTCTCTTGCTTTTCTTCTTTATTTTCAGACTGAAAGGGGAAAATAAAGGTGGAAAGATTTGCTCTTTTTGTGAATGGCTTTTCTGAAATTTTGGACTAAATCTTTCGCCTTAGTGGAAGAAAATCTTTTCTTGGGCATTTTGGATATGAAATCTCTTTAAAACATGAGGTGGGATGCAAAATGAGCATTGGGAAGCAGGTTTTTAGATTTGGTGGCACCAGGATAGGTTTTGCAATGTTGTTTTTTAATGAAGTAAGGGTAGGCTGATTATTAGATTCAATATGATCACTTGAAAGTAAAATTTTTCCTATACATGTTTCTGTCTGAAATCCAATTGAATTAAAAAGCTGCTAGGAATCACAGAAGAAAAACTTACTTGGGAAAAAACAAACCCTAAAGAGCTGTCCTCTTACCACAACTTAATGGGTGGACACAGGAATCAGCATTTGTAGATACGGAGTGAATAGGCCTTACCTAAGATACTTGGGACCAGAAGTGTTTCCGCTTTTGGAACTTGGAATATTTGCACAAACATGATGTGATATCTTAGGGATGAGACCCAGCTCAAAACACAGAATTCATTTATGTTTCATGCAAACTTTATTCACATAGCCTGCAGGTAATTTTTACACAATATTTTAATAATTCCTGCATGAACCAAGGTTTCATGGTGTGGAATTTTCCACTTGTGTCATATTGGTATACAGAAGGTTTCAGATTCTGGAGCATTTGCCTTTCAGATTTTTCAGATGAGGGATGCTAAGTAAATTAAGCAGGCAGCATTTAAGGTTACTGTGGAAAAAAACCAGATAAGTGCAACAGTGATACTTACTATTGGAAAAGGGGATTCATAACCAGGAAAAAGGCTGATCTTCAATGTTACTTGCAAAGCAAGATGCTGTCAGAAGTTTATATTAGTAATCTATTTAAAAATTTTAAAATTTATTATTTCGGAGCCAACGCTGTGGCCTAGCAGGTAAAGTCACCACCTGCAGTGCCAGCATCCCATAGTGCGCACCAGTTCGAGTCCTGGCTGCTCCGCTTCCGATCCAGCTCTCTGCTATGGCCTGAGAAAGCAGTGGAAGATGGCTCAAGTCCTCGGGCCCCTGCACCCGCGTGGGAGACCCAGAAGAAGCTCCTGGCTCTTGGCTTTGGATCGGCAGCTCTGGTTATTGTGGCCATTTGGGGAGTGAATCAGAGAATGGAAGACCTCTCTGTCTCTCTTTCTGCTCTCTGTAGCTCTGCCTTTCAAATAAATAAATAAATAAATCTTTTATTTGAAAGGCAGAGAAATAGAGGAGGAGAGACAAAGCAGTATCTTATATCCTGTGGTTCACTCCCTCGAAATTCCCATAACAGCTGGGGCTGAGCGAGGTTGAAGCTGGGAGCTGGAAACTCAATCCATGTTTCCCATGTAGGCAGGGATGCAACGACTTGAGCCATCATCTATTACCAGGGTCTTCAGGAAGCTGAAATTGGGAGTGGAGCTGGGATTCAAACCCAGACGTTTCGGCTATGGCATGTGGGCATCCCAAATGATGTCCTAAGCGCTACGCCAAATGCTCATCCCTGTATTAGTAATCTATTGCTGCATACAAATGGCCTTCAAAATCAGCAGTTTACAAACATTACCTCGCACATTTCGGAGGGTCAGGAGTGTGGAAGCAGCTTAGCTAGATTGCTGTGGTTTAGCATCTTTCAGGAAATTGCAAAGTGTCAGGTGGGGTTGCAGTCATCTATGGCACAGCTGAGGCTGGAAGATCGGCCACCATGCTTGCTCCCCCTGCAGTCGGCGGCCAGCGGCTTCTCCTAAGGTCTGCTCACAGCATAGCAGCAGCCTTCCCCCAAAGTGACTAATGCAGGAGAGCCAGGGAGAGTGACATCACACAGCTTTTTATGACCCAGTCATTGAGTTGCACACCCTCCCTTCTGGCTTATTTTGTTTATTAGATGTGAGACACGAGGTTTGGCCCACGTTCTGTAGGTAGGGATTACTCAGAAGGTGAAAAACAGGCCGCGCAGATCGTTGGGAGTCATCTTGATATTTAAGTCTATGAGGTTGGCATAAGTCAACAGATCAGATACTTGCTTAATTTGGGGCTTATACTGGAAAAATGATGATCTCTTTGTATTAATACTTATAATTCGGCTGGTGCCGCGGCTCACTAGGCTAATCCTCCGCCTAGCGGCGCCGGCACACTGGGTTCTAGTCCCGGTCGGGGCGCCGGATTCTGTCCCAGTTGCCCCTCTTCCAGGCCAGCTCTCTGCTGTGGCCAGGGAGTGCAGTGGAGGATGGCCCGGGTGCTTGGGCCCTGCACCCCATGGGAGACCAGGAAAAAGCACCTGGCTCCTGGCTCCTGCCATCGGATCAGCGCGGTGCGCCGGCCGCGGCGGCCATTGGAGGGTGAACCAATGGCAAGGGAAGACCTTTCTCTCTGTCTCTCTCACTGTCCACTCTGCCTGTCAAAAAAAAAAAAAAAAAAAAAACTTATAATTCGCTCTTTTGTTCATAAAACTGAAATTCCTAATAAAATAGTAAAAATAACTTGTGATCACTAAATCCTTTTATAATTTCTCTTAAAATTTTTCTTTTTGAGAGGCAGAGAGAGAAAGCGAGAACTCTGAACCTCTAGGTCATTCCTGAAATGTCTGCAGCAGGCCAGGCTGAGCTGCACTGAAGCCGAAAGCCAGAAACGAAGTTCAGGTCTCCTACGTGGATGGCAGGGATGCAGTTACTTAAGCTATCACTTGCTGCTTCCCAAGTCCACATTAGCAGGGAGCTGGAATTGAGAGCCAGAGCTTGAACCCAGGTACTCTTATATGGGACATACCCTAACCACTAGGCTAGACGCCCACTCCTCCTTATTAATTTTCTTGCAAAACCCTGTAGAGTGAGGAAAGCATCTACCGACTTATCCCCATTTATAGATTAGAAAACCAAGGCCCAGATCGTGTATTTTTAACATTCAACCTCAGTTTTTTTTTTCCTTTTCCATCTGTTCTTTCCCCTGAAAAATAAATACAATTATTTCCCCATTTAATAAAGCACAATGTAGTTTTTCTTTTTCTTTTTTATCTGAGAGAGCTTTTTTTAAGACTTTATTTATTTGAGAGGTAGAGTTATATAGAGAGAGGGAGAGACAGGCAGGACTTCCATTGCTGGTTCACTCCCCAAATGGCCGCAATGGTGGGAACCGGGCCAATCTGAAGTTAGGAGCCAGGAGCTTCTCCCAGGTCTCCCACATGGGTGCAGGGGCCCAAGCACTTGGGCCATCTTCTACTGCTTTCCCAGGCCACAGCAGAGAGCTGGATCGGAAGAGGACAGTGGGGACACGAACTGGCGCCCGTATGGAATTATGGCGCTGCAGGCAGAGGCTTAGCCCACTATGCCACTGGGCTGTTTTTTTTTTTTTTTTAATACCTAATTGAAAATTTTAAAACACTGTTCTAGTATCAATAAAGATGTCACTTTTCTGTCAGCAGCAAGAGTCCTCTTTGCTATTTTTATAACTGGGTGAGGTCTGATTTCTCCAGAATTGTACCATACTGTGGTTAGCCCTGGCCTGTAAGAAGAAAATATATTTATCCTTCTTTAAAATCATTGGTTTTCTAAGAAATATGCCATTTACTATACCAAATTTGAGGAAAAACTTTTCAGGCAAACTGTGGTGGTCACTTTGATATCAGAAACAGCCAGTCACCCTACTTCCCTCCATCCTACCCCCTAAAAGCACACAGCCTGGGTCCTCACATCTTTGGTATCTGCCTTTGTGTTATGCATTAGAACAATATTCCAAGCATTTCTAATGGCACATGAAATTCTTGTCTTGAAGTTCAGTAGTGTTTGTTGTTTTTGATGTGCAGCATAGCCTTGTTGGTGCTGGATGATTCGTTGTGTGTGAATGTTTTGCTAAGCTCATGCGGACTTCTCAGTCTTGCCTGTAGAATGTCCTAAATTACTCTGACTGTAGCCACATACAGTATATTAGTCGTGTGTCTGTAAGTTTTTGCTGAATCCTGGTGTTTACCATTTGTACTGCATATTCCCATACCCTACCTGACGTTTTCTCTTTCAGGTCCTGATAACGTGATAGTTCTGAAGTGAAAAATGATTTTGGTTGTTTCCTTTGAACATGTGTACAGTGAGGCTTGGAGAATGTTAGAGTCCCCCCGAGTGCCTGCTCTATAGGAAAGATGGATGCTTATTTTATTGTTCTCTTTTTAAACCCGCTTGGGACAAATATAATAGTAAATACCATTTATATGTCCCAGTAAGCCAGAGGATACCCTCAGTCATCCTTCCCTCGCCTCTCCCATTTTGTGGTGTGCTCTGAGGAGTAGCTTCTTAACCTCTGTGTAGTTATAATTTTTGATGTATTTTTTCCTCAAAGTAGTCAAATGATTATATTTAAAAATTTTTTCCCCTCTTGTAGAGGGTTCAGAGAGAACTTTGTAACTGTTCTCAGTGTAGAGACTGGGTTTAAGATTTATTTCAGATTTTTATAATCTTCCTGAGTTAGGAAGTAAAAATGAACATAAACAAGGAATTCGTTGAGTTTAGAGGACCAAGTGTGATATATGACTTTACACTCTTATTTTATTATCATTGGTTTTCTAATATTTTGACTGCCTGTGGATATACACCCAAATGCATGTGTTTTTTTCTCACTTTGCCTTTGATTTTCTTTTTGGTAAAAACCCAGCCTGGAAAGAAAGGAGCAGGGAAAATCAGAGACCACCTGGTGGGGCTGACCCGCCTCCAGTGACCTGCTCGGGTCTCCAGGAGTTCCTCCCCAATTTGCCCCACAGTCGATTTGCATTTCAAGTCTAGAGAAGCAGCATTTGGGGTAGAAGAGAGTATTTCCTGCTTGGCAACCACAGCCTGTTTGTCTGGTCTCCTGACAGTACCAGGTGGGTATCTCTACCTACAAAACCTCACCCCAAGAGCTTGGAGAGCTCTAATCAGGAACACATCCCTCTGGGTATCTGTAGGTATGTAGAGGTAGCTGTAATGTATGGTTATCAGCCTTCAGAGACATCTGTGTTCCTGGATTTTTAGAGATGGCATCTGAGCTAATACAACTGATACTTGAACCTGAGACATTCAGGTGTGTCCAAGAGCCCTAGGTGTCACAGAGAAAATGGTTGGGCATTTTTCATCATCAAATGCACCAAATTCCTCTCTCTGAAAAAACAAGCAATAACAGTTTGTGAAATTGGTGGATGCTGTTCCTTTTTAAGATTTATTTTATTTATTTGAAAGAGTTATATAGAGAGGTAGACAGATAGGTCTTCAATTCACTGGTTCACTCCCCAAATGGCTGCAATGGCCGGGGCTGGGCCAGAAGCCAGGAGCTTCTTCCAGGTCTCTCACATGGGTACAGGGGCCCAAGGACTTGGGCTATCCTCTTCTGCTTTCCTAGGCACATCATTGGGGAAGTGAAGCAGCCAAGACTCGAACCAGCACCCACATGGGATGCCAGCGCTGCAGCACCGGCCCTACTGCTCCGTTTTTAACATGAGCTTATAGTTGGAGTTAAGTACATTGAGGCCTCATTGATTAAAGCCAATTGAGATAAGAGGAAAATTGGTGATAATTAGTAGAATGTTTGGGCAGATTTTTTTAAAAGAAAAAAATGTTGTCAATTAAGTATTACAACCCAAGTAAACTGACAAAATGCCACTACACAGTACTGCTGGATCTTGTCATTAAATAGAAATGATTTATGTTTAGTGCACCAGTTATAAACTTGTATAAATACTTCTGAAATGTGTTCAAATGGCTTCTTAAGTAGGTTACATTTCCCCTTTTTTATTTCATTTATATGATTCCTTTGTTGAATAAATAATCTTCCTTTTAAAAGGAAAGGTAAATTCGAGTTTTGTCCTATTATAATTAAGGATATTTCACTATTCAGTGAACTCTGCAATCTTGATTCATTTTAGGTTTTTGATGCCCTTGAGGACACACAAATAGTTGATATCTGGGTAATGTTCTAATCTGAAAGAAGTTGAATGATGCCTTCATTACTTTCCTATGACAGAAAATGGTTAAAAATGCATTTGTTCAAAAGAGTGTTCCATTTAAATCATGACATGATAGTTATTTAATTGATGGAAAATGAAAGTATCTGTGATCAGAATACTCTTAATAAAATGGAAATGCTTTTTTTCAGTACTTTTATTTGGGAAATATTCACAAGAGGAATCCACTAACCAATAGTACTTTTTTTTTTTTTTTTTGGACAGGCAGATTTAGACAGAGAGAACCAATAGTACTTTAATTTGGGGCTGTTTCAATACTGGATCATTGTACATTTGATTCTGTGCTACCCTTTATTTTTGTTTTAATCTTTTTCAGAGTTCTGTGCAGCCTTTAAAAATAAAGTTTAAATTAATTTTAATTTTAAAAGAATGGTGTGAGTGGCCTCTGAGATTAATTCTGGCAAACTACATTTGTCAGAAATAAGATGATGGCTTGTAATCCCCTTCTGTTAGGTAGAAGGCTGCCCAAGAGCTGTGTTCCAGTGGGAGGTGCAAACCCCTGCTGCATTAACATGCCAAAGGTATTTTGGCATGCAACTTCTGCATTTATTTCAGTTCCAACAACAAAAAGTTATTTGTGGGTGTTTTCGTCTTGAAAAAAGCTTTTACTTCTGGATAGTTTTCTCTGCTAGGGATCTTTGGAGACCCACACTTCTTTGATAGTGCTTCAGTCTAGTTGGTGAAGTTGCATTTGGGTTTTTGAAATTAATGGCCTGGGGCTGGTGCTGTGGCATAGCGGGTAAGGCTGCTGCCTGCGGCGCCAGCATCCCATATGGGCACTGGTTTGAGACCTGGCTGCTCCACTTCCTATCCAGC